GATGCTGGGTTGTGCGTGTGGAAGACAAGCGAAAACTAGAAGTAATCGACCACCACTGTTTCAAGTGAAGACCACCAAACTCCTCTCAAATTAAAAGTTTGGATTCGCTGCAAGAGAGAGAGAGGGAATAAACGAAATAAGGCAAGAAAAAACAGAAACAATCGATAAAATCATTATAACAAACTAATATATAAACAAACAAGCGCTCATTTTGCGAAAATTCGGACTTGAGTCGAATTCCCATTCCATCCAACCTTTCGAAAACGCGAACGCGCAACGACTCGTACGTTGGTCAACTTTTTCAAATGCTAACCGTATCCGAAAGTTTAAAATCTTATTTTTCATCCGGACAGCGCGTACCTTACTTCCCCAAAAAAGTCCCCTTTACAAACTGTAGTAGTAGCAGTAGCGCGTCCGCCGCTCGCGAGAGCATGCAAAAATCGATAGGCCAATCACCTATCGATTACGAAATTATCACAGCCAATGACAACCAAGCACGCGTGAAGCGCGTGTTTGCGTAATACACTAACGCACGCAATGTTATTAGGGATGGCGAGCGAAAACAAGGGGGACTGGTATGGCCATTTCTGGCTTGCTAGCCCTCGTCGGCCAGTCATGCCTGGACCCTAGTGGTGCCCCACCCGAGCCTCAAACTCGCAGACTTTTTGATCAAAGTCCAACCCTGCTGACGGAGCTCGAGGATGAGATCCACGAGAGAGGGAGATGGGTGAGTTCCGTTTTTATGGTCGGTGAACTTTCATTTCAGTATTTCCCGACCTAAACCGGCAAGACAACGAGCTCGTGGCTTACTGGTTAGAGCATTAGACTCTAACCAAAAGGTTGCGAATTCGAAACTCGGGTGGTGCACCACGTAGGGTTGGATATGACTGACTGACGACGACGACGACTAATAAGCCAGAAATGGTCATTCAAGTCGCCCTTTTCTTTGTCTGCAATACTATCTAAAAAGCCGCATGTCACTAAAGATTGCCGTGAGGCGTAAAATGCGATATGTGGATGGACTATAGCTAATCCCATATTACCGAATTCTGGGGGTTTTTGTTCTCCATGGTAAGCCATGGTAATAATTGATTGGTGCCAGCTCGAGATCAGAAGAGTATCTGGCGAGCATACGTAGGTTTCGATAAATTCTCCTCGGGCCATTACATTTATCTGGGGAGGGGATAAGAGGTAACATGCGGGAAAGTATGTTCATAATTACAGGCAAATTAGGCAACAGTAGCTTATGTAGCCCCACTCATTTATCCCTACAACATGCATGTTTTCCTACGAAAACGATGGTTATCGGGTTTTGTGGGCGGGGAATTAGGACACGTAGTGGAATATATTTTAATATATGCTAAATGCATTTTCCTTTTACTGTATTAAGAAATGTTGATTTATACCTGTAGATTCTCCTAATCAGTATTATCATTTAACTTATTGTGGAAAGACCCGATTATCAAATTGCTGGTTTCTTGAATTTCCCGAAGAAGTGAAATGGTGGTTAGGAGGTCATCTACTTCAACTTACCTGTGGTCCAATTTAC